TTTAGGGTTATTATATTTCAGCTGTCTATTAACTCATGAGTGTTTGAGGGGTTTTAACTGCAAGGACTGTGGGAAGTTTACAATCTGACAACTAGAACTGAAAACCACCAGACTAATCACTAACTAAAACTTGTATTAAATAAAAATGAGACTATGGCATAGCTAGTCACTTAGACTATACTGTGCATCAAGGAACAGGGGAGAAGACGCCTCTCTGGGTCCAAAACCTCTTGGTCATTTACTCAGATCTGGCTGGGTATCAGAATCAGGAGTCTGAAAGCTGTCTTTTCCTTTATTTAAGGAGTTTCTTTAACTCTTCCATGTTTGTTTTGGTAAGTTTAGTAAACAATGTAAGTTTTTGATACATATATGTATATATCTCTAGGATTTCTTAGAGATAAATTGAGTATATGTCAGGTTTTAACTAGATGGATCCAGTCTCTCAGATCTGCAAGGCATCAGTGTGGTCATGGTCCATATAGGCATTAAGACTTGAGTCTACTGAGACTTGGTAAATCTAGTTTGAAGTGCATCACAGGACTGTGCATTGTTTGCTTACATCATTTGATGCAAAATAATTTCAGTAGAAATGCTGAAGTCAGAAAGAACCATTTGCATAGTGGGAAAAAAGAGCAAAAGGCACAAGCCAAAACTAAAACAAAGAATGTGTCACATTTCTCACACTGAGTGTCTGAACTTAGAGGATAGTGTCTGACCATTATTGATATGATGCTCCCATCATTTTGCACTCCTGTTTAAATACAAAGGTTTATAATGCTCCAGTTTTCCAAACTGTGAGTAATCAGATAGATATTCTAAGGAATCACACCAAGCAAAATCAAACTGCCGTAAAGTTCACGTGTGGCACTAATTGCAATTTAACTGCGTGGTTATTACAAGAGCTTTTAATTAACTCAGTCATCATACTGTGGCATACAAATCGTGCATAATAGCAGCATGCTGACTATAATGACAATAGGTTTGTCTGAACTGTGAAAATCAGGAGTTTTATAATTTTTTGAGGTTTCTTTTTATGCCCTTAAATATTTTGTGGTATTTAAGAACACTTCAAAAAAGGGGAAAAAAAAGAAAGAAAAAATCCTAGCAAGTTTCTGAGGCTTGCCTGTTTTAAAATTTTGTGGAAGTCTTTTATTCTTCCTGAAATTCAGTAGGAGGTATCTCAATGAACTATTTTTCTTATGATTTTTCAGTTTCACTTTTTTATTTTTCATCCCCTTTGAGGATCATTTTACACACTGTTTTTGAAGACAAGAAGAATGCTGTTTGTGGAAACATTCTGAGGAAATCCCATTCCAGTGAAGCTGAAAGATATTAAGAATACATTCTGATGAGGTACTGGTGCAAAATGATCATTTATTAGTTCAGGAGGGTAGTGGGAGCATTGCTCTTCTCTCAAAGTTAAGATTCCAGTCTCTCAAGACTGGCAGTAATAGCACTGAATGATTTCTCAATTGGAAGGTTAATTTCGCATTCCAGAGACTAAGAATTAAGAAACAATGTAGCTAATGGATATAGTTGCAGTCCTTCAAAAAACACAAGAAATACAATTAGGTGGTGTTATGCTCACCACATGTACTTCTTCCTGTAGATATAAAGAATGCGTTAAAAATTAATACAAAGCTGATATTATTATGGAAGCTGTATTTATCTGGTTTTCAGACTGTCACCAGCCCTGTACTGGGAAATGAAATACTGGCATATTTGAGTTATAAATTATTTGGCTCACAGACAGAACAGGCACCTGAAGGCAAGACAACAGTACATGACATTTTCACGTGCACAAGTTTACTGCAGAAGCCAGGTGATAGATAATGAAGACTGGGCTAGTGAGGAAGGCAAAAGTAAATTTTCATGCACATAAAGTTAATGACATAAAAGTGACAGACACTACTGAACAGTTAAAAATTCCCCAGGCTGGGTTCAGCTGGGTGAGCAAAATGAGCATGATGTACCAAACACAGAAAGAAGAACCAACACTGCACAAAGCCAGTGGTCTCAGAGGTTTAAATATCACAGATATGAGAAAGGTAACAGAGATGCTGACATCACCACTGTAAAATGCTGAAGTAGCTTGTCCTTCAGAATCTGTGTCTGAAAAAATGACTGCTAAAGATCTGATTTTGTGCTGCTGCTCTCATTAACACAGCTGAGTTCTCAGCAGTATGATTACTGTCATGCATATCTTTGTGAGAATGGCAGAGGTGTATGTGGTGCTTTTTTGTAATGGTTTTTATTAGAATTTTCAGAATTTCCCAACACCAGGGAAAAAATCAGTTCTTAAAAAGACATTTCAGATAATTACTGGTATTTAATTTTATTTTTATATTTAAAGTTTACCCAGCATTAATTTTTAAGAAAGTTTTTATATTGGAAACTAATGTTTGTATTTACATGTATCAGTGAATGCAAATTTCCAAGTATTGCAAATGCATTTCGTGAGACATTGACTCAAAGTGAACAGAGAAAGGCTGTTAGACAGTATTTTGAAACAACTGTTTATGTACAGCACATATAAAACAAGTACCATCCATATTCCAAGTCACTATGATTGTAAAAAAATTATTTTTTTGTTCATTTTAATCAGAGAAAAATATGATGAGACTTTCTTGCAAATTCAAGAAATACGGATATATGTGGATTCTCTTGTTTTCCTAGTGAACATGAATATGTGTATGAGTTTTTTTCTGTTTATTATAGGTGGAACCAATTTATTTTTTTTTTCCCTTTCCTTTTTTTCCCTTGAAGGACTGGTAGTCATCTGCTCAGGGGCTGCATTAGCCAGCAAGTCATTTCCACCCTGTTTCTCCTCTCCCCACAGGCTCTCACCCTGCAGTCAGGCTCTGCAAGTGCCTGGACAGCAAAGGTGCCTTGTTCAGATGTACAAGGCACCTGAGACCTACAACACCCTATACACCTGACCCAGGCCTGTCCTGAGACAGAGCCTCCTTCCCAAACATCTGGATCTGACTCTCACTCTCTTATTTTTATTCTTGGTAAAACAAAGAGTAGCAGAAGAGTGTATGGGAAACTGGAACTGAGGCAGCTTGAACAATCAGTTGCTTTGTCATAAAAGCTGATCATAAGCATAATGTTCCCTGTGTCACATCAGTGAGCATAAAAGAATATGATAAAAGTGAGACAAGTAAAATGATGGAAACATTTTGTGTCTTTGGTATATTTATCTCCATTATATTGGCATAGAGTGGCTGATGGGATATGCTGCTGCAGAGGCTGGAACTGAGGGAGCAAACTTGCATGAGGATGCATGAAGCATAGAAAAAGTGTAGAGACTTAGAAGGGGGGAAATGGGGAGTCCAGTTAAGCTGGTGGAATATGACTTAATATGTTCTGAAGAGTAAGATGCTGTCCAAGGAATCACTGCCTCTAAGAAGAAACGGTGAAATGAATGCCTCAAGTGATGTTCAAAGTGTAATCCCTTAAAGGACATTAGTCATATGTCCAGAGATCATTGTCTTGCAGGTAAATTCATGTGTTTCATTTGAAAGGGGACTAAAGTATAACTTGGCTGCCTGAGTTGTGACTTGTGAACCATGGCCTAAAAGGACTACTCATTTTCAACTTTACCTTCAATTTCAAATCATAAGGTGAACACTATTTCTTATGTAGTAATAATGCTGATTATTTCTTCTTTTCTCTGCCCTAAGCAAGTGCATTCAATGAGTCTTTCATTATCACCACATACAACATGCTTGACAGAAAACTCATTAAAATTAGGTGTGTTTATTCTATTTTAAATTTGAAATGTATTTCTTAACTAGCTCTAAAGGAGTTCTTGCTTGGAAAGATGGTCCCTAAGACTTGCACTTCTTTCTTTAGTGCATGATGATAACTTGAAAATGAGATTTATTTGCTGTCTCTGTTCTTAAATGTGGGGATATAAAAAGCAATAAGAAACAATAATCCTTGTTCTGTAGCATACATGCTCCTTCCTTCACATGGTAGCATTTTGAATATGTTTCTGCTTCAAAATTGGATGCCTGCCTTAGATGCCACATTGACCTCCTGTCTTCCTTTTTCTGTCTGAAAGTTGACTCCGTACTGACTACCAAGTTTTCATAAATAACATAATACAGTATTAGTTTTTCACCAGTGCTAGCTTACACAAATGCATGCTGTTCAGTCTGCTTAATATATCTTGTCAGATATGATTACAAGCATAACTATCTCTTATTTAATAAATGTATATATATATATATATATATTCCTAATTATTTTTACTCACTGACTAGGAAAAGTAATGAGCTAAGAATGTGGATTGATGTCCTATGTCATACAAAATGCTCAGTATCACATTTTATGAAGAAAATGAGATTTCATGTGAATTTTTATCTATTGACATCTAGATCAGAAAGCCAGACATAAAATTCCTTGATATTTTCAACATCTGTGTTCCAGTATCATTAAACTTACATCTTGGGTCGTTACCTTAACTTCTTTCAATGTTGTAATGCAAGTTTCCACCATGATGTTTACTATATCTTTGTGTAACTGGGCTGAACATACCATAATAATTCATCAACCCTGAAAGAAGGCACAAAGTTCAATGCATATTATAAATGTGATTGGGATACATTACAGAAAAAGTGGAAATATGCGGCTGTTCACAACACATCATATTCTCTGAGGTTACCAATACTGTCTATATAAAAAAAAATATTACTTCCTTATGGGTAAGAAAAAAAAAAGCCACAATCAATAAAATACGTGGTGATTTTCTTCTACACTTGGTATGCCTTAAAAAGGGATGCTTTTACTGGTTTTTTTTTCTACTATAAAATGACTAATTATGTGTTTGCTGCATTCATTATGGATACAGTATTACATAGTATGATAATTATGTTCTTCGTCTTTCTTTCTTTCTTTCTTGTTAAAATGTAGTGAAACTGAATTGAGAGATGAGTAACAATTGTTGCTTACATGTGTTCTTTCCTTCTTCTTTTGGCTTTTTTTTCTTTTAGGTGAATAAGATATGTGGTCCTCCCGTAAGGAAGCCTAAACAGTCTCCAGGTTGCTCCTTTGATCAGAACAAAGATAATCAAGGCTTGAAGATGTTCTCCAGAGACAGTGAAGAAACACTCACCAACAGAAGAAAGTAAGACATTAGTTTTACAGCCAGAAAGAAAGAATAAAGTAAGCCATTAATTTTACAAGGGAGTAGATTATGCTCAGTGCAATGGCATGCATTACTAGAGAATAGTCTCCAAAGGAAGAAACATTTTAGCAACACAGTCTACTCTGTTACATGTTGGAGAGGGAAATTTCATGGCTAGATTTTGTTTTCAGAAGTAATGGCCATACAGCCACGGTCATTTGATGTGGTTTAAAATATTTAGGAGGGTGGATAACATTGATAGAATGAGTGTTAGCGCTATGTGTAATTTTTTGAATTACATTTAACTTTACATATCAGCAGGCATTATTAAATCTGACAAAAAGTAACTGTAGCTTTTTACAGAAAACTGTTTGTACAAGCTGATAAGACAGAAAAAATGAATTACTTTTCTTACATACCTTTCTGCTATAAAGAAAGAGACGAGTAAGCATTTGGGACTAAATCTTGAAAGCCTTGTTCAAGCAAGAGCTGATGAATTTTTTTCTCTGGCTCTTTTGCTGGTATTATGAATTGAAGTGACTGCAGAGGCCTGGAGATTTCATTTAAACCTGGCTCAGCATTGCAGGGTGGACTTTGTGTAACTGTGTGAGTTAGGTGTTTGAGCTGCCATTACACTCTCTGGAGAGGAGAGCTCTCCACACGTCTGCAAACATCCAGTGGCACTCAGAAATATCCTGGGGTATCCCAATGGATTTTCTCCTGCTGAGAAAGATGTAGGTGTCCCATAAGTTTTATCACAGAGTTCAAGCCTGACAGAGCTGAAGAAGTGTTTGGAACATATTCTCAGACACATGATGAGACTACTGAGGATGGTCCTGTGCAGGGCTAAGAGTTGGACTCAGAGATCCTTGTGAGTCTCTTCCAAATCAGCAGATTCTGTGATTCTGCGATTGCCTCCATCTTTCTGCAGATATTTTAGGTAGTTGAAGGAATCTCAAAGGCCAGTCTATGTTTAGACAAGTTAATGAGGTTTTTAATGACTGTAAGAAGTAATAGCACTGTAAGGCATTAGGAGTGTTGGAGTTAAGATTAAAGGCTCCATTATGAAAATAAAGCACGAAGTTAAAATCAGGAATTTCATTTCTGTCATAATGTTTGCTAAAATACAGAGGAGTTTTCTTTGTCCTCTTTTTTCCTCTCATTTCACTTTGTAGTGCGGAAGGAAACTGAAGTGAGAGCATTGCAGGGAATAATTGCTCACTCCTGATGTCTGGAGAAGAAAAAGTGCCTCTGAGCTTCAAGGCAAGCTATTCTCAGTTCAAGGACCTTCAGTTACTAAGTAGTAGAGAAAGAAATCACAATCTAAAATATAAATGCAGAGTTTTGAAAACATTTGTGGTAACAGAAAGATATGCAAAAAAGAAGTTTTCTTTATCCAGCAGAGAAGTTTTTTCAGGGAATACCCATTAAACAGGTGCATGTTTCTCAGTCACATGTAGCTAAGCAGGTTCTTGATGTTTTCTGATTGGTAACCCTCTGCAAAACACAATACCATATTCTAGATTCTCACTTAAACCAGGACTGTTCCATGTTTCAAAGCACAGAACACTGGATATTCCTATCTGATATCATCTGCAGCTGCTACCTCCTGGATCACCTCCTTCCTTATTAGTCACAACCACTTTACATTTCACTTTATATTCCCATAGCAACTGTAAGAACCTCACATGTAAGTATGACTTCAGCAAGTGCTTGCAGCTTGCTCTTAAGGAAGTGCTCTTCTCTAACTCCACCTTTATTACCTCCTTTGGTGTTTCTGTTTTCCAAATGCATGTCCAGATGAAAGTTTACATTTTAAAGTACATGCTGGGCTGCTGCTACCTGTACTTCTCCTGAATTATTTTCACCATTGGACCTAAACTGGCATTTTCTGGTAGTGTTTCGTACAAGAAGCAGAAGAAATTTCTTTGTTCTTTTGATGCCAAAAAATTGTTAGATGAATTTTAAAAAATCCAAGCAAACCTTTCCATCTCAACATACAAACTTGATAATATGCAATGCTTTTTTTTTCCTCCAGACCTTGATACTGCAGATACCTTCTAGTGCAGAGGATGAAATTGTAAAATAAACAAATAAATAAATAAAAGAACATTTCTGAATAAACAGATAAAAAGTGTCTTCAACTTCCACTGACTGTAATTGCACATTTGTGCTCAGCTGCCTATAATTACATGCTATCTGGTCTAGAGGATGATCATGTGGAAATTGACATTCATACCATTTGCCCTTCTAACTGCTTTGGTCACACATCAACAGGGACTGAAATCAGTTATTACTTCTCTATTAAATTTAGTTTTGCCTTAGGATGTATTTGCTAATAAACTGAATGGCCTTTCTGTTAGAATGCAGTTTGTGACAAGATATTATGACAGCTATATTTATTTATTTTTATTTCTTCTTCAGAAGAAATTCCAACTGTTCATTTTGAGAGGTCTCTCTAAACAGTATTTTTCACCCAGAATGTTGACAGAAAGCATAGACAAAATCAAAATCAATCCAGTCAGTGGCATTTGGAGGGAAATTGCAAACCCACTGTGCACACTGGATTAAATTTTGGGTGTGGGGAAATAAAGTATATAACTATTCATGTCTAGGAGAGTGTGCATGAATCATATTTAAAACCTAATGCACATAGGCAATTATATGATGCATAGTCAAAATTGACCCTACATGGTATTTTTCAGACCTGCAGTTTTAGAATTAGTAGGGCACTCACATCACATTTAATAGACAGAGTAAATCAAAACCACTGTAGTTTGTCTAAAATCTTTGCCCTGTTACATGAAAGAACGTATGGCTTTTTAAATGATGGAGTGTATAAATCACTGATGTTTTATCTGGTTTAATTTGAAGTAAACAATACTGAACAAAAAAGTTCCCTATAGCATTTTAGTCCTGTGGTGACTGAATATAGGGAATTGTATATACTATTTCTGTCATTTTTTAACAACTCCAGACACTATAAAAGTTAACAAAGTGGAGCTTGCTGGGTTACAGGGCAATGAGTACAGTATTTGGTGTGGCTTTTCTTTGTGCCTGCAGGTCATAGATAACTCAGTAATGTGTCATGTTCCATTCCAGAATGAATAAGTATTGTAATTTTTCCCAGTAGGAAAGGGTCTCCCAGAATGAGATTTTCAAAACAAAAATAAACAATTTGTGTTAAATATCACAATTGTGTTAAGAACATACCAACTAAAAAGTAATTCATTTGTTTTGAATTAAGTACAAAAACTTCTCATTACCTTGGGGTATTTTGAAAATTATTTAAAATAACAATACATAATTTATGAGCTGCCAGCACAGCACATGGTAGAACTGATACAATCCTTCAGACAGTTATTTAAATCTTAAATAATAAATACTAATAATACTAAATAATACTAATACTAAATAAATAATAAATACTAATAATACTAAATAATAAATAATAAATAAATATGTAAATACTTAACACCTACATCTAAAACCCATTTTACCTAAATCTTGAGTTGCTGCATAACTTAAAAAAATATTTTTTGTAGTATTTGTAAAGATATGTGGGAGATTTCTTGTCAGCACTTTTGAAAAACAGGAGACATATGCACTTGTTTTTTTATTTGCTGTTCTTTTTTTGGAACATTTTTTTGTCTGTTTGTCCAGCTATAATATTGCAAACTGTATCACTGCAATGCAAGAAAATTTTAAGTTGAAAGAAAATAGTTCCTGTTCCAAAAAGCATATGTGAAGCAGGGTTGGTTTTTTTTGTTGGTTTTTTTTTTTTTATTTGGCATAAATTGGGAGTATCAGCTTTGTAAACTAATGAAGCATATCTAAAATAACCAAACTCATCTATTGACAGATCAATTTAAACGATCACTGGAACCACTGGAGTGTAATGGAATAAACACATTCCTTATCTTTTAGAAATGCACAGCAGCAAGACAGCCTAATGTTGTTGGTTGGCACTGACAATTACTTCTCGTGTTCCCATGTGCAGAGAATTTATCAGCCACCTCCGTCTCTACAGAGCCTTTTACGGCAGCCTGGCGGATCAGCTGTGCGGGAATGAGCTGGCAGCTGCTGATGGACTCCCGTGTTGGAATGGAGAAGATGTCGTAAGAAGGTAGCTTTCTGCCTCACTTTTGTCTTTTTTCTCTTGCAAGTCACGTTTCGCTAAAACAGCTTCTATTCGAGTCGGGTAAGGTGTTTCCCTGTGTCTGTGTCAAGATTAGTTTGAAAAATAAATAAATAAGCACGAGTTCCCTTCTCTCAGGAGTCACCTCTACACAGTCAAGAAAATCTCCCTACATCTCTGTTTAGGAAAAAGAAAAAAAAAATTCCAACGTTCTTCAGACATTTTTCCTTCAAATTTACAACATCTAAACTTGCACTGGAAAAGAAGCTTGGTTGGCATTTACAAAATACAATTGGACAAAAAGAGTATGTATTTTTGTTTGAGTTGGTCTTCATAAAGTGCTCCTTTTAATGCAGTGTGTGGTAATGGACTCAAGCTTAAAACCTTCTCTGGCTGTGAAGTGTGAAGTATGAAGTAATCTCTTAATATATATATGTTTTCCCATGAGAGAATTGAAAGTTAAACGTGAAGATAAAACATTTTAAAAGTGAAACACGTATTTTTTTGATATATGCAGCAGCTTGGGAGACATCATTCAGCAGCAGTGGCAAAGAAGAGATAATAAACTGCTACAGTCCTAGATGTGTGTCTCTGGAGTCAATATATTACACAGCTTATAAAACACTAACATTTTTGGATGGCAGAAAGATTTTCAGAGAGCTGATCTCTGTTTTTGCTTTATTGCTTTGATCACTAAAACAAGTATTTCTCTGAGCAGGAAATCCTTTCCTTCCTGGTGACAAAGAGCAAAATATTGAAAAGTTCATTGCAGTTAATTGTAATATAAGTCATGATGTTAATGTGGTGTGTATTAGTAGGTAGTATCAATGGTCATGTCAAAGAAGGCTGTGAGGAGAGTTAGTAAAGTGTGAGATAGCAAATAGAGCAGTGGACAATATGCACCTTTAGGTATCTCTAAAAAGTTAGGTAGGAGCTGTCATTTGGTGATTGATACCTAAGGGAACTTAATGGACATCTTTTTAGCAAACAGCTGCAGGCCCACTTTTCTTTATCTTCTTGGGCAGTCCTGTGCTTTGGCAGCACCAAGGTCCAGTGAGTGGTTGATTCCCTTGACAGTCTCACAACCTTTGTCCCAGGATTTCAACAATCTTCTGAAGATGCCATGTTCCTTCTTTAGGTAACTGTATTTGAGGTTTAATCTCAACTGTACCTCCTTGGTTTTGTTTTTCTGACCAATCCCTGGTTCACTTAAAGTATTCCTAGAAAATATTTCAGTAACAATATAAAGTGAGGGTCTTGTAATTACAGATTTCCCAAGAACAAGGTTATTCTATTATTACTTTTGTCTGCTTATATACTTACTAATAATACATTAGATATTTCCAAACCTATATTATATTATAGTGTAGTATAGTATAGTATTATACTGCATCTATTATTATGTTATATGATTATACTATTACTTTGTTTATACTATTATACTGTACTGTTTGATTTTGATTGATTAGACACTAAGCTCCTGATAAAACAAACATTCTCTAAATTTTCTAAATTCATAGTGTTCTTTAAAAGAAATTTAATACATATGCTAATAAATGTATATACACATATTCTTATATAAATATATAATACAATATATATTGCATACAATATACATACAATATACTTATTATTGGATCCACCCAAGGATATAATGGGTGACAAAAGCACTGTATCTTGAAAGAAAGAAATAACACTTTGGTATTAGTTTAACTTAAAAATTTCCTTATCGAAAATATTTTGTCTTTGTATGTATATATAAAGTATATATATTTTTATATTTTTGGTCAGCAAATGTCAGTGTCATATTTCTGAAAGAGCTGAGTTGTAGATAATAGAAGTACAGAATGATGATTAAAACCAGAAGAGCAGGAAACTCTGAATTGCTCTAGATTATCGAATGGAGCTGAGACCTTCAGATTAGTTCCTACATCTCAAGACCTCTGATTGTACACTAAATATATTGTGGCGCATAATCTCCTGCTTCGGTATCTTTATGAAGGCACTCAGATCTGTCCTCTTCCACCCCTTCACTTTGCCTTCTTATTCAGTCAAAATGTCCTTTGTTCAATTGTATTTGTTTATGTTCTTTTGTCACTGAAGGGGAAAAAACTGACCTTCACTTTGACCAAGATAAGGGTTTTTTTACAACTAGTATTATTATTACAGAAGTGATGACCTAGGGAGAAGTGTCTATTATTGGCTTTTATAATAGCTGGGATGCATAGCAAGCATTTAAAATATATTCTGCTTAAACATTAGCAAGAGTTTCCCAGTGTCAAGGACAAAAATCAATAGTTTTGTTGTCCAGCATCTACATAAAGAAGGATTTTGACGAATAGGCTAGGCAGGCACTGAGAAATGATGCAGCCAAAGCTGATTTTTCGTAGCGATATGGAGATAAATTAGATAACTTCTTAAAATCTCCTTTAGCCCTATGATTCTGAATCTAGGATTACCTAAATCCTGTGTTGCTCAACTTCTATTGTCATGATCCCAGGATACTGTGACATTTTAGAAGCAATAATGACTGAGCATCATTGCTTTTCTCTCTAAATACTGAAGAACCTGTACACTCACTATCTTTACTCTTTTTTTTTCTCTCCTCATCCTGCCTTCTCACTAGCATAATAATATATAACAATAATATAATAATAAATAACAGTATTGATGAACCTATCAGTGCATCTCACCAGTGTTTCTGGCACTGATGGGGGAAAGTCTACATTGTTCAAATTAGTTAAAGACAAATAGATTTTATCTGTTTTGAGATTCTTCATTCTTTCCATCTGTTTTTGCCTTCTGTTTCAAAAACATGTGCCATAGCTAGCTGCTGATGACTGAAATTTGGGCTTGACATGAGAAAACAATATAATGAGCTGTGTGTTGTTGGTGTATCAGGACCCAAGGAGATTGCTTAGACTGCTTGCTGTATCTGTGTTTCAAGCTGCAAGTAGAAAAAAGCCCTGGAGACAGAAGACATGAATGGGGAAAAAAAAAATTTTTGCAGTTCTTCATTTTTCTTTTTTGTGCATCTTTCTAAAGGAAGCATTTCAAGGGTTTTAACACTTACAATATTGGATATCAGTTAAATCTTATAACCTTTGCCTTCTCTAATGCTATCCAAGAGATTATCAAGCCTGGATGGGAAAAGGTCAGAAAATGAAGAAGGCTGTTATTGAAACGAGAGCTTACTTAACAGTTTACATTTCATATGCTTCAGCTGTTCCATTTTTGGTTTAAGCCTTTTTTATTTTTTTTTCCCATATCACAATGCCATCGAAATATGGCCCTTGATTCTGCAATTATAGAAATTGTTCTGGATCTAGCATTTTACACAGGAGTCTCATGCCTTCATCAAAACCTCAGAATTCCCACGTTCCTGCATTCAGGCCTGACAGGATCAGTAGTGGCCAAGACTTGAGGCAGCAAGACCACTCTCATGAGGTCTGTGTCACTGCAGCATGAGGGACAGGACATCTCAGAGGAATCTTCAGCCTCCCTACTGCTGTCTTACCCAATTGTGTGACTGCAGTGGTCTAGCATCAAATCAAAATTCAAACTTGGCTTTCAAAGCCACAGCCAAGTGTTGTGATGAAGTACTTGGAATTTAGTGTTACAGGATTCATTAGGTTCAATGAAAATGAGGAACTGAAATTAATAAGTTATGCACTACCAAAGCATATGAGTTTGGAATTTCAGTGGCATCTTAGCATTAAAGCTAAAATAACGGGAGCTATGCAAATAGACTGAGATTGTTCCACTTCACAAACATAAAGAGATTTAACTGACATTTATACAGCTTTGGTTGTCCAGAGAGCTGGGCTAGAAAGTGAAGAGAAATAAATTAAAAATACACAGAGGAGAGCATAGTATGTACTGTACTTTTTGAGACCAGAGACTTAACTGAAATAAAAATAGATATGAGTGAAAAAATAGTAATATTTTATATGTTGAAGGATTCAGGAGTAATGGAGATTATTGAAAACAGCTAATCAAGTTTTGAAGGAAGAGTTTCATATAAAGCGCATATCTGAAGTATCCAAATTAAGAGAAATTAAACAGCATGATTGATTTTAATTGCTGAGCAAATTGTTAAAAAGTAATTATAATAAGCATCTCTCATCAAATAAATGCTTAGCTTTAGCACAGCTCTTAGGCTGGGGTAATTTTATCTTTTGATTCTTAAACATTCTGAAACTACTACAGTCCTGTTGCTGTTCTTACCCAACAAAAGAAGGTAAATGGTGATATAATGGAAATCAATAAATTGGTTTCAATTTCCTTCTATTTGAACTAATCATCACTTTTAAAACAAGGAAGAATGTAAAATACCATTAAAGGTACCACTTGACACCTATGCAAAAGATGTGCCTGAGCAACTAAAAATGTAGGAACAGCCCATTATGGCTCTTACTGTTTTGCCTAGTAGGCTGCTGCAAACAAAGACCAGCAACAGATCATAGAGAAAAAACAACGGTAAGCTTGTACTTCCCCAAAATATACAAATTTGCAAATGCCTGACCCAGAACTGTGGACATTCAATCTTCCCTTGAACTCAAAAACCTTCACACTACTAGCTTTCCACAAGAGAGACAGAAGTTTTCAGATACCAAAGCACTGAGTCAACATAGAAAAGACATGAACTGGCATAAGATCCCATGGTTTATAATAACTGTGGGATTTGTTTCCTGTTTTGCCATGAGTTAAAACAATAGAAGTCATTCCTGCTTTAATATTGGTAATAGCTGTTCTCGGTATATGCTTAGATAAATCTCATCTTGCTTCAGGATGGAATGGATTTAATTACATAAAATCAGCAAAATATGTATTGCATTTGATAACCTCAAAATAAGAGTTCTACTTTTCCTTTTGTTTGCTTGAGTAAATATATCATTTTCTGTAGTGTTTGCCCTAGAATCATTGCACTTGTTTGTCATGCACAGCAGAGGCTCTAATAGAAGGGTTCTGACAGTGGGTGAATTAATTTCTATTAGGTTGGTAATAATTTACAAATTGTATTGACTTTTAAAATTAAAAACATGATTACCACCATGTTAAATAAACTGTAGCATTTACAAAGTCACGGAAGACTGTTCAAAGGTAGGTGTGAGAAAGAACAGTAACAAAGAATATTCCAAGTTCGAATTATTGCATCATCATGCCTTCATTTTGGAAGGTCTTTCATTTTACACAGTCATGGAAAAATAGGCCACACAATTTAATATAAGTGATCTGATGACTCTTAAAGGTTTTCCAAGTGAATTCAGGACTACTTTACTACACTTTTTAGCATGAAAGAATGGAGGCAGTAAAAAGAAAAATCTATTGTCTCCTTTTTGTATAAAGGTTCATATTAAAACCAAGGAAAATTCATGCAGGAGATTTTGATGCATGATTCAAAAATAAACCTTGCATAGAATAAATACCTGTGAATCATAGTAGATTATACTAGACAGAAAGTTTGTGCCCAATTGAAGTTCTTATAAAAGAAATATGCTCTTTTTGAATTCAACTTAGATATACAGGTTGTCTTTCAAATAGTAAGTTTAGTGATATTTTACAGTGAGGCTTCTTTTACACAATGATACTCTGAAACATTTCATATTTCTAAATCCATATTATTTATCATCTCTAGCCATGGCAATTTGATACAGCAGCCCTCACTGAATTACTTAAACAATATTTTGGGTTGTTAAATCTTATCTATGAGGTCTTCTTTCACTGTAGTGCCCACAGCAGTTTTCTATAAACTCTTCCAACTTTACGAGTCCAGAGAAGAAACTTCAGTGTAATGATGTTCAGCACTGCAGCATTTGCAGATGTTCCTTTCAACCTTTGTATTGTTATGTAACATCTGCTGAGGACTTTTTCTCTTGACAGCTATAGGTCAGATTTTCATTGAGCATCCTGCACTGACTGTGAAAATGTGAAACTGTGAAAGCTACTGAAACTTAGATTGTGCTGAGGGTTTTGCTTTTTACAGATTTTTACAGATGATGTAGATACTCAAGCAGGGTGCCTTTAAAGGTCTGAAAATTGGTTGGGAGTCTTATGTGAAAACCACTAATTTTTCCTTAGTCTTATCTTGAAAGTTTGCAGAAAGTTCTTCTTTATATAAGAAAACTTACCTTTATGTAGTCCTATTTTGATGAATATACTGTAGATTTTTAAGTGTACAGATTTATTTTTATTGTCATTTATATAATACAGGTGGTAAAAAATTGGTATTTGTGTAGTTTTATTAATGCATTAAAAAATTAGTTATTATTTTTTCTAGAAAGAAATGTTATTCTTTCCAGTTGTATCAAATTTTT